TTATAAAATACATATTGACAAAGACAACTGAACTGGGACCAGGGAGATTTGATTTGGTGTGAGAAAGTCAATTCAATGTGATTTTGTTAAAGGGCTCCTGCAGGCAAATAAAAGAGTTTAAGTAATAAAGTACATAAAGAGATGTTTTACGAGCCAGCTCTTTCTTGTGGCAGTCACATAGTGCATTGCTTGTTCAGGAAAAAGATGAGATGTTATTCCTGCATTACTCTGAGTGAGACAGTGAAGGTTTCATGTGGTAGAGAAGACCGAGGTCTGATCCAAGTCCATGCATGCTATCAGCTTATCAGCGAGGGAACAAGAGGAAAGGAAAATTTAGTGCTATTTTCATTCAGTTTACTGCATGGGTGTGTATGCCCCACCCCACTGAAAATATAAGAACAATGTGAAGTAGGGTGACAAGAGGGGATTGGTTCAAATAATCAAGTGCTAGGTTGAATCCAGGTCTCCTTGGGGATCTTTACCATATCTTGGTTCTTAAATTTGTTCCTTCTACCCACCTTAAATGCCATATGTGTGCCACTGTAAGGGACAAATGCTAAGTTCTGCCCCTAGAAAAAGGGAACCAAAAGCACAGTTACAAGATGGGAGGTATTTGGCTCAACAATATTGCAAGCCAGAAGGAACCTGGAATTGTTGTAGATCACAAGCTGAATACAAGTCAACAGTGTGACATGGCTGGAAAAGAGCAAATGCTATTCAGGGTTGCATTAATAGAAGTATAGCTTCCAAATCACAAGAGCTACTGGCTCCCCTATGTTCAGCACTAGTTAGGCTCCACCTGGACTACTGTGTCCATCTCTGGATACCACACTTCAAGAAAGATGCAGACAAAGTGGAAGGAGTTTGGAAGAAGGCAACACAGATGATCAGGGAACTAGAAACAAAGTCCTGTAAGAATAGATTGCAAGAACTGGGCATGCTTATCCTAGAGAAGAGAAGACTGAGGGACATATGATTACACTTTACATGTACTTGAAAGGCTGGGTAAGTTTATGAAATCCTGCTCATGAATAACACAATTCTTGTTCAACTTCCTCAAAAGTAGGCAGATCATTATAGGTCTTCCTTTGGAACGAATACTGCAAAGCCCTTTGGGGTCACCTTGCTGAGCTGCTGTTGTTGCTGCCAAGCTATCTCCTTCTCTCCTCTTCTCTGGGCCTCTCACTGTTCATCTTCCAGCAGAAGACTTTTTTTTCTCCATCTGCCACTAGGCTTCTATCTGCTCCATCTCCATCTGCCTTTGGGTTTTTCCATGTTCCATTGCCACCCAGCTTGGGAATTTTCATTTTATGACCACCAGCTGCCTCAGTTCCTTCTGCAGATGTTATATCCTCCATCTCCCACTGACTCAAGGGAGAAGGTGCATTTCATGTTAACAATGCTCTTAAATCATCTGAGGTTTTACTCTCATAAGAATGGCTCTCTTTTTTGGAAAAGCTTTAATCAAGTTTTCCTCATCCAAGCTATATACTCAGTCATCTTTTTTCTGGTGTTATGGTACTGAGACCCTGGCACGTCACAGTCAAGGGTTTGGCATGCTCTGTGCAAAGCCATATGTCACCAATATTCACAATTGGTGAGATTAGCAGAGATTCCTGCAAGATATATTGTCTGAGGACCAAGATTAGGCCCATGGGCCAGAGGTTCTGTTTTCCTGGAATACCCGATAGGAGCTTCCTATGGTTAAATTGTCTGATCATTAGCCACTGCTGGACTGGGTTATTTTAAAATATTCTGTCATTTGGTGTGGGGGGTAGGCTCTAATCTCCATAACTACAAAAATGAATAATAAAAACCTCACACTTAGAGGTAAAGAATACACCTTGCATGCATATGTTCTTAGGTTTAATCCTCAATATATGTGGTCAAAATTTAACAGGGAACAGGGCTGAGAAAGACTCTTGCATGAGCCCTTAGAAAAACAATGCCAGTTGCAGAAAGCAACTCTAGAGTAGATGAAACAGTTGCCCAGTTCAACATCAAGCATATGTACGAACAAACAACCTACAGGAAATATGTGAAAGGTGTGGTGGTCAAGAAATTCATTATGCTGGAATTCCCTAGTAGTGAAGGAAGAAGGGGGCTCAAGCTAGTAACAGAAACACATACTATTCAAGAAACTTCACTGTTATCATTCCATGTGCTCTCCACCTTTCTGGCCTGCACAATATTGACTTACAAGCGATAGCGATGAGTGCACTAGATCTGTCCTTGCCTTGCCATTGTTGTCACCCTCTCCATGTGGATGGAAATTGCTTGCAGAAGAAAGCTTCCTCACTTTATGGAGTGTCTCCCTGACAGTTTAGATGCCTGGAAATAGGGCCTTTAGTTTCATAAGAATTCAAACACCAAATCATTTCTAAAAATGACTATGGGAATTCCTGTTCAGTATTCAAATACATTTCTATCTATCTAGGTGAACTGGGGAAAAACAACTAAGAAAAAACTAGATCTCTAAAAGCATTGTAATACTTTATGAAAATGTTTCTAAATAGAGAAGGATATTGATTGACAATATTTATTTTCAAAGCTCAATCAATGGACTCTATGTAAAATTAAGAAACACCTTTCATTCTGGTACTTCAAATAATTCAAATACTAGTCTATTTAATTAATAAATTATCTGTTCATCTGACTGTACTTTATAAGGAGATATAATTTCTATTGTTGTTACCATAGCAGAAGAACACAGAAGTAACACAGTTTTCCCAAAATGATTAAGAAGGGTAATGGTGCAATTTATAAAATAGATGTTTGCAATTGCAGTTCATATATATCATAGTTAAGGATCTTGTTTACATGTTTGTTTATCATGAGATTGTATATGTTATGTGATTCCTGCAGCTAGAACAATTATAGAAGTTTTGCACAATCTGTGCGGATGTCATGTTGAATACGCCTGGGGGAATGTGTGATCTTGCCAAATCTGGAGCATGCTGGACGCTTAGGTTAGACCTTTTATTTTAGCCTTGTGATGATAACATGGGAAGAAGTTGTATGCATGCCTTTATGGCAGGATTAAAATGTAATTAATAAATTAATATGAGTACGAGGATTCTCAACTTAGTGATAAAGCATGTGCTTTGAACTAATAAATTATTTCCAGAAAGCTTTTTCAGAAGCTAGGCTGATTGTTTATAGAGGGCAGATGTGTAACCAAAAGGTACACTTCTGTTTCCCTTCCCCCTCCACACAAATATTCTGTCTATCCCAACAGTGTAACTTTATAAATGAGTAAGTAGAAAAGTGAAGTGTTGGCATATGCAGCACTGATCTAGCTTGATTATTGGTATAGCTCAGCATCAGGCAGTGTAACACATATGTCTTGCTTAAAATGTGGTACTATATGGTGCCCACCATGTTGGACTTCCTTTGGAAGCAGTGGGCCTCAAACTAGTAATTAAAAGTAATAATTTACAATAAATTATTCTGTTATGTTTTTGTACAGCCCAATTTTCTTTCTGGCCTATTATAGACAAAAGGGTTTCATAGGGATATGAGTGCAAAGGATCTTTCTAAAATGGCTGAACTGGGAATAAGTGAAGATGTCCTTGGTTCACTTTCTGATAAGAATTTACCAAAATCCACAAATGTCTTCATTACTGAAATTTAAAATAAATGGATGCAGGAAAAAGCAAAACTGACCCAACTTAAACATTTGGCTTGGAATTGAGCTAGGGTTGCCTCTCTTTTCTCTAACAGATTCTTCATCTGTAGCAGCTGCATGGAAATGATCTACAAAATGGACCTCTCCTGTCTAGGAATAGCTATCCCTGTTTGAATCTAAGCAGTGGAGATGGTAAGCATTTAACTTTGTTTATTGTTTTGGTAATAACAAAAATCTCAAGTTTTTTCATAAGCAGACTAGAAATTTTGCTTTAAATAAATGTAGGAAAAAGGAAAACTGACAGGTTCACCCATCCTAGTATGAATTCATCATTACATTACAAAGTTACATATGAATAGCTGTGATTGTTCCCAATTTTCCAACATACATCTGTGTCAGGTTGATGTCAGCTGTTGAAATACTAATCGTTATTTACCATCCAAGTGCAAGACAGAGGTATCTGCAAGCTTCAAGGAACACCAAGGTTTGTAGAAGTATGAAAATATTTGCAGGGACCTGTCAGGGTGAGGTAACATCCCAAAACAGGCCTATGAGGCTGTAGCATGCTAAGTAGCCATGGGATGCTATCTACTGGAGGGGAAGGGCAATGGAAGGGAGGCAGAGTCACAGCTTCCTAGCAGTGTTTTGGAATATTGTACACTGAATCTTCATTTTCCTGAAGATTCCACTTGTCCTTCCTGTTTTCCCTTTTTTTTTTTTTTTTGGATAGAGGAGTCTTAAATGAATAAACTGATAGGATGCAGGAAGAGGCCGCTACTATTGTAAATTGCTAATCAAACTTCTCCTTTACAGCATCATGTATGTATGTACATATGTTTTTAAGCTGTGTATATTGTTCTCTATCACTGAAATTAAGTTCTTACAGGAGGATAAGTACAGCTGGAACAATGCAAGGCATTCTTGCTAAACTCTGAAAGCTGCAGTTGTTCTGTCCAACAACTGGTTATCAAGCAACTGGATATTCCATTACAGAACAGAATTTAACAAATATCCAGTCCCATTGCCACCCATAAAAAAGCAAGGAAGCACATTTTTCTAGGGAAAGGCCATGATGAAAATGAGAAATAAGCCTCTATTTTCTCCATTTCTTACAGTCCAAGGTACCTTGTACCTATGATTTCCGCTTGGAAGTTCTTCCTAGACTTTTCCAGAAGCTCTGGTTTGATATCACACTGCATCTTAATATAAGATTATGTGATTTTATTATATAAGATGAGAATGGGAAGCATTCTTTGCTTTCCTCTAATAGTCGGAAATAGGTGATCTGAAAGCATATAGACCCATATCTTAATTGAAACTTCTTCACAAACCAAAAACAAAGCATATTCCTGAGATACTTTAAAGGGTGTACCTGATGTAGGTCGATAGATGCTCCCTTTCTCTTGATCACCACAACAGATCAAGTCTTTGCTTACTATTTGTCCACCACAGCATTGCTGATTGAAGCCATCATAGAGTGCTCCACCACAGCATATTTGGTTCCCTGATGTGGAATAAGGAACACCCTGGCAGCAGGAGTCCCCAATCCCAACAGGCACCCAGTTGTGTTCTTCATTTGGGCAGCACACCTCTCCTGTAGGGTTAAACATAGCATAGAGATTTTGCTCAAGACAGGCAATGAAATCCACTCCATCCTAGCAGTAGCAGGATTAGGGTTAGGATGACGATGATGGTGAGGTGGGGGTGACTCATACAAGTGGTTTCCAATCTGAATATCTTGAGCAGGACAAATGTGAAGGATAAGCAAGATGAGAGAAGGAAGGGCCAGGATGTCACAGAATGCTGGACTGGGACTTAGGAGATCCAGTGTCTAGTCCCTGCACAGCTGGAAGCTCACCAGATAACTTAGGACAGATCATTGTATCTCCACCTTGCACTCATAGGGTTGTTATGAGAATAAAATGGAGAGGAGAAGGACCATACTATTTAAGCTACCTTGGGTTCCTTGCAAGAGGAAGAAAGGCAGGGCATAAATGCAATTTAACAACACCAACAACAATAGCAGGTGAGTGTTTTAGCTTAACTGCGAACACATAAGCTGTTTCTGTCAAAGGACATTGTCTATGTGGCCTTTGGCTATATTTTTTGCATGAGTTCTGGTGTGTGTGTGTGTGTGTGTGTGTGTGTGTGTGTGTGCACCATGGCCTATTTTAGGGCAATATGAATGCTGTTTAACTGTCACACAATCCAAATCAGTGATAGCTCCATCTGTACACAGTTCATAAACTTATTCTGACTATTTTCAAGTTAAAGTACACCAATCTCTCTGACTTCTTTCTCCCATTTGTGTTGCTTAATTCTTGCCATGGTGCACTGTGACTTAACATTAAATATATCTAAAAGTTATCTAAGTGTATATGCTCATTGCCATGAATTAACAAATGATACCACCAGCTCATGTCGAACCAAATAGATCATCGGCTGAAGGCAACATAAGGCACTGCCTCATGTCACTGCTATAGTTTCCAGTTTCTAATATATTTTTGGGTAGTTAACTTTAAGAAAAGCACAATTGTGCACACATCCAAAGAGATATGTGCTCTTATCTACTGTATACAAGTTGTATTTTACTTAGGGTCCCTTTCAAGAGCTCACTCCACTCCATCAACTATGTTGGAAACTCTTTTCCAAATTTAATAAGCAACTTTGAAATTCAGCTGAAATGCTTCTGAAGAAAGTGTCCAAAATCCTCAGTGTGTGCATACAATCTCATGCTTAAGTCACCTTGATAGAAGCCAGGTACAAAGTTCTGGTATGACATTCTAGGAAGGACGTTGTTCACTTTTCCCACAAAGCCCCAGGGAGACAGAGAAGTGTGATGAACGCTAATATTATTTACATGATTATGCTTTGCAAATCCATTCTTCCCATCTTTGCTTTGGGATTCATATCTGCATGTTTGGCTCTCCATTCACAGATAACACTACTACTCCTTTCCTGAGTTGCAAGATTCATACTTGTAGTAAAGTACTTTAAGCACTTTTCTCATGTCATTCAAGCTGGCCAAACAACATCTAGAATACATGCATGCCAAGATTGCCCTGTATAAATATTTTTTTTAAATTAAGTCAATAATAAACCAAAAGGACAAGAACAACTCTTTGGAGTGTCAAGAGATATAATCTGTTTAGATACTTAAGTGCATTTCTCTGCTGTCCTCAGAATCTAATTTCATGACTGAACAGAGGGAGGCCTTCAACAGGGTATGTAAGTTGTATCAATTGGAAATAATACAGATTTTTTTATTTTATAAAAAGGACCATTAGACACAAGACACAAAGGATCAGTAACCTTCTCATTAACCTCTCAAAATGGGATCCATTTGAAGCCAAGCTTGAAAATGTTTTCTCTCTGAAAACTACCATGCAGTCTTACTAGTTAATTGTTATCCTTATCAAAGAATGACCCACATTAACATTTCGCTTGGGGTTATTAACATATTTATAAAAAAGAGAGAGAGAAAGTGACCAATATTGTTCTTGTTGCTTCCCTTAGGAAACAAGAGGGAGGAAGAAAGCAGTAAGTGCATGTTACGTAAAACTTCCAGCAAGCAATAGATAAATATGCTTGGCAATTGCTTGATGAATTTGAGTTTTTCTACCGAGAGGATGGTTTATATCACTGGCCTTTTATTTTGTTTTGTAAACAGTTAAGTGATACCATCCAGTGGGTCTAGAGGTCACTAACAATCATCTTTATATTTAGTATCTTAAGATTAATGAGACCAGCATAAACCTCGCCTCTAGTTCCACAGGACAGCATTTTTCTCTTTTGGATGACATCATGGGTAGCATTCTAATACTGTGATATATGAATGACTTTTGAAGGCATTGGAATTTAGGATGTGCTGCATAGCTTGGCAGAAATTCAAAGTACTTCTGAGCATGGGGAATGTGTGCCAACCCATGGGTAATGCAGTCAGTTTAGCTCCTGACCTCACAGTTGTCAGCAAAGAGGTGTGGAAAGCTTTCTTTGGACTATGAGACTTGCTCTATTTAAAGATATGTCAAAAATCCTCATAGCAAATTATATTTAGAAAGATAGTCAAATTAAAAAATATCTTTCTTCCATTACGAGCTCATGCTTGAACTGACAAATATTCCACCATGTTGGAGGGTTTTGTCATATATATAATACGAACAGATTTCCAGAATAGTACCGATTCTGATCATCTACAATAAGCCATCCAATACAGAATCTTAAAAATGGTGCTCTGCTTTTAATGAGAAGTTAGATAAATATCTAGTGGTAATAAAATAGAGATTGCCCCATTTTCTTCAGCACTGAATTGATTACTGGACTCACTTTGTGGATATTCTACAATGCTAAAGAGATTAAGAACATAACTGTACTCATGCAGCAATGCACATGCTGGAATTAAAATGGGATGAGCTAGGATACCTAGAAAAGAACACCAAAATGATAATCTGGCTATACTGTCACCAGATTTGGCCACCTTGCTAGGATACTTCATGGCAGAAGCGGAAAAGATTGAGATGCTGCCAAGATACTTCATATCTCAACAGCACATCTGTCCTCTCCTCCATCTACCTAACTCTATGTCCAAGGTCATTCTTCTGACCCTGGAGATGCAGCCAACATGGTTATTTCCATGCTATCTGTGGAGACCTGTGGCACCCTGAGCATGGCAACCCAGCTACAAGGTTGGAGCAGTTTTCTGACCTCAAAGCCAGACCTTCAAAAAGCAGTATGGCCTTCTAGATGATGTTTAGTAGCCATAGGATCATGCTGTTAATTACCATATTACGTAGGCTTAGTTTTGTTTGGCCATTGCAAGAATTTGCCTCTTACCTGCTAATACCCTTGTGTAATAGCCACCGCAGCACCGGTGGTCTGGTTGCACGGCATGCATCTGGCTACCACAACAAACACCAGATGTACTGGGATTAAACAGGAAATACTTGTCCTCACAGCACTGGAAACCGGGGGTATTATTGTGTAGAATCCCATTGCAACACACCTAAGATAATTAAGAAAGGAGACACAGTGTGTGTTAAAAATATAATGTATCTCCTAGTATAGCAACATCACAAAAATGCAAATATAAATTAGAACTGCTACCAATATGATTGTTGAAGTGCACATGCAATTTCTAGCATTGTTAGTATTTCATAAAATTCATGGTATCCAATCAGACTAAATCAAATGAATTCTTATTTTGCAGAAGTATAGCTTTACATTATCTCATAAAAGAACAGATCAACAAGGATACTACACAAGACTGTGATACCATGTAGGGATCACTTGTGAAATATGATGTTCATCATTTCTAAAATATGATGTTCATCATTTCCACACATGATCAAGGTTTGCAACTAAGTCTTGGCCCCACCCACTGTAAACAAGCTCACTTTAAGTGATACACTCTCAGTGGTATGTGTAAGCTCAAAGATAACTGTAAATATTGAAGGTTATTTGGCTAGACACGTGAATATCACAGGAATTTTTACAAGGAGTGCTAAAGTTCATAATGGATTATGTCCTTCACTTCTCCCAAACCACAAGGACAGAAGCATTCTGTGGCCAAAGAATGCTGACTCTTGGAAAATACTGCTGATTGGAACACTGAAACTTCTACTGCAACTATCTGTTGCAGCTCTACCTGTAACACCCATATTTTGCTGCTGTATTCACTGCCTGGACGTGGAGAGCATGGAATATTGTGTGACAACTTAAAGATTTTAAATCCGAGAAATAGTTGTCCAATAAACTTTTTGGAGATGTGAATTTTTACCATGCCTTCTTAACACTCAGTATCTGTCATGCTACACTGCAAACAATGGTAAAGTGGTTGGCCTTTAAGCATACTTTATATTCTCCTTTAATATTAATCTTTTCTATCTCCCAGGAAACTTTAATTTTTTTGTGTTGAGCTGACATCACTTCACTATTATTGTAGAATGATTTCACATTTTTGTATTTCAGAAAGGATACATCTGTGTTAGAGCTGTGTCACTTCATTCTATTAACAAAATGGAATGCTTCCTTTGTGGCAAATGATTCTTCAAACAAGGTGATCTCAAGTCAGTTGTGTGTGTGTGCATGTGTGTGATATTCTGTTTAAAGTAAAATTTGCATGGGGATGATTTTTGAACAGGTCCTTTAACTACAGATTTCTTTCTAGATGTTTCTGGGATGAATTATGCACTTGAACAACCAAATCATTATTTGTATGTTTGAACCTGTACAAGCAGGCTGGCATTGTGTACACACCACATATACAAAAGGGAGAGTTGATTCCTTGTAAAATGCAACATTAGGAATTGCATTCATCTCATTTTCACCGTGACCAGATGGAAAAGGTATTTGCGAGTGTAGCACATATACTTAAAGGATAACTTATTGATCTTTTGTTTTTATTAGGGTTGAGGCAAAATCACACAACTTTGTTTTCATTTTTGCATAGGTCAGACATCCATCTCATTACACAATTGTCAATCCATGTTTTGCACACTGGTTGCCTATTTTTTTAGATAAAATATACTTCATCAAGAGGTTCTTGGATAAATGAGAAACATATAAATAAAATCAATGAAAATAAATGCTGATTTTGACCAGCTTCCACAAAATGATTGCTATTCCACCTGTTTCTTGACCATTTGGGAAAAGGTTGCTCTTAGTGGGTGGCAGCAGCAGCTGTGAAGTCCTCTCCACAGAAAAGCAAAAATAAATAAAAATGAAAATTTCAGGCTGCAAAGGCAGGCACATCACATTCTCTTCCCCAAACTGCTTTTCAGGAATGGGGTGGGGGGGGGGGCAGGCAAACACTGAGTTCCAGCCACCACAGTCTTGCAGTAGGCTTTTCACTCCTTCGTGGGTGAATTGTGGGAAATATGCATTCACCTCCTCCCTTTTCCTGAAATGTCACAAAACAGTCCGGGGCGTATGCATCCCCCCCACCCGTTAAGCTTCTTATTTGGGAAAGGGAGTGGGGAAACTATCCCATTAATTCAGCCAAAATGCTTGTTTCAGTCAAGGTCGATGCAACTCTCATTCCCTTCTTGCTACCAACCCCAATGCAGAATTAAATGTTATCAAAGTCATGTGCTCCTGGAAAACAACCCTAAGCCTGGTTACCCAGGTGTCATCAGTGGCCTCAGTGTTGGGAAGCAATGAAGCAGCAGTTGGAGGTGAGCCAGGAACCAAGGGCTGTGTGACAAGCAAGTAGCTGGCAACCAGTGAAGGACAAAGCAGAACACAGCAACAAGCAGCATGCTGGAAGTCAAGGCCAAGCAACTGCAGACTGAGCCAGTGTTGTGCCACGGTTGCACTGGGACTTGGGAGACCTGGGTTGCACTCCCAGCTTGGCCATGAAACTCAGTGGCTGAATACGGACCAGTCACTAGCTGTCCAAATAACCCTCCTGATGATGGGTTTGTTTGTTTGTTTATTTAAAACTTTTTATACCACCCACCACCAAAGTCTTGGGATGGTTTGACAGCAAAGCAGAACCAAACAAAATAAAATAAAATGCAGCATCCCAATCAGTCTCCAGCGATACAACCCATATTAAAATGACATTCAAACCTTAAAATGTTGGGAAAATTAAAAGGTTTAGTCTGGTTCCGGAAAGAATAAAGCATCAGTGCCAGGCAAACCTCTTTGGGGATCGTATTCCATAACCTGGCCCCTCTGCAGAGAAGGTCCTTCTCCAGGTAGCCACTCTCCAAATCTCCTTCAAGGAGGGCTCCCGGAGAAGGACCTCCCAGATCTTAAGAGGTAGGCAGGCACATATGGAAGGAGACACTCCTTCAGGTAACCAGGTCCTAAGCTGTTTAGGGCTTTATAGGTCATCACAAGCACCTGTTTCTGTCCATTCTGAAGCCCCACAGAGCTTTAAATCAAGTTATAAAAAGATCCCTTTTTCCATCATATGCCTGTCAGGGTACTGAGATATTCAAGAGATGCTCTTCTTTGCATCCCACAAACAACAGAGGTATGTTTGGGCAAAACAAGGGGAAGGGCCTTCTCATGGACTGCACTCAGGCTTGGGATACCATTTGGAACAGCATGTGATGTGTAGAAGGAGGCTGCTATAGGTTGGGGAGGTTGAAGAAGACTGGTGCCCCACGGTGCACAAAGGGAAGCACATTCCTTTAGCACAAAGCCATTAGTGAATGCAACTGCTTTGCATACAGATAGGCCCAAGTTCCTCTCCAGGTAAAAGTGGCAAGAAGAGGGCTAGGAAATACCTGCCCCTCAGTCCTTGGAGAGATGCTGTCATCAGAGCAGACTGTTCAGCACTGAAAGAACAAGCAGTCTGATTCGATAAAAGCCAGCTTCATGTGTTCATGTGTTCAGGAAGTTACAGATAATCTAGGACAGGGAGGGGATCCTATTTCAGTATTCACCAAGAGAACCATAAGGCCTGATTTACATGCACCTGTATGCTTGCTGAATAATATTCTAATGCAGCACAGATTGAAAATGTGCTTTTTGAAGGTGAGAACTAGCTTTCTAAAGGCAACGATGAATTCAGACTGCCCTTTTGGTTGTTTTTTATTCTATTCCTCCTTCCCCGCCCCTCTCCCCTGTCACAAATGTATCTGTATCAACAGCCCATCTGTTTATCTTAGTCCAGGTATGATCAGATGCTGAAGTCCAGACTTCTTGCCTCTTGGCATCACATATACCCACCAGCTCATGAGCTTAATTGAAATGTATGGCAGCAAGAAAATCTTTATCTAAATTTTGGCAGATTGATGGTGCAACAGTGACTGTTATCTGTATTGGTGGAAAGCTGTTAACTAGTGCATACACGGGCTTACTATGGTTCAGCACTCTTATTCCTTCAGGCACTAACATGATCCACGTGATTAGTCCCATTGAGTTCTTCTGAGCATGCTGGGCAATCATATGATGGCTTTCATATTTCCTGCTGTAATTACTTTTAAACAGGTGAGAAGCAAACAATCAGACTGAGCAGAAGATAAAGAAAATTACAGAAATTAGCGCAGTTTATGAAGCCGAGCTTTTATGCGATCAATCAGTAAAACAAAGCAACCCGCCTATTCCCCAGATACCTTTATCACAGAGTAGCAGAAATCAGAAAAATCTACTTCTCAGAAAAGGCAGAATTACTGCTTTAAAAATGAGAGGTTGAATTGAACCAACCCCCACTCCCAGGTTCTACTAATTTGTATGAATTAAAATTCAGAACCCGGTCTTTGCATTTGAGACCTTTCTTTCCCCAGTGCAACAGTGGTGCTCTCTCACATTAATTTTGAATTACTGCAGTGCTGTGCAGTCCGGTTCTGTGTATGTTTACTCAGACATAGGTCTCACTGAGTTCAATGGGACTTGCTCCATAGAAAGTATGTTCAGGTTGATAATCCTATTTTTAAGGTACATCAATAGCCACACATAGTACAACCATCAGGGAAATGTCTCTCCACCTTCTAGGATGAGATATATTTATCTATTTCTAAATGCACCGCCATAAGAAAGAAATAGGGCTAGATAGAGAGGGAAGCAGCTGAACCAGAAGCTATTAAAATGCAGCATAAATGTGGATTCTCTCTATATTAACTGCGCTTGTCTTCTCAGATGGACACTTTTTTATGCTTAGCTGATGGGCCTTACTGGCCATCTCAGCACTCCATAAGGGCTACATAAAACTAGCTTCAGTGTTTCTTTTCCCTTTCAGGCCCCAGTGCCCCCTACCTGCATTATGTAGAACCTTCCGCAACCCCAGGAGGTATACTGGCAGCAGGAGCAGGGAAGAATGATTAACATTGCCTCCTGCCCTGTTCTGCTACATCAAGAACCTCCCACAGATGGAAGGGAGGCCTTCCATCTGTGGGAGGCAGACTCTGGATTCAAGCCACGGTGTTTGGACAGCTTTGGATGAGGTTGCATTCACAGTCTTCTGATGACATGATCCTCTCTTGTGTCTTAACGTGAAGCAGCACAAGCTAGAAAAGGGATAAATCTCTTCAGCTCAGCCAGGAAGTAGTTTTG